GGCCTCCCTCACCCTGCGCGCTCCATGCCTGCCGGAGCACGTGAGCAGCCCCGTGCGGCTCCCTGGCCTCACCGCCAGGGCGAGGCAAGTGCCCCAAACTGAGGGCTGCGACTGGGCCGTGCTGCCCACATCCCGGAAGAGGCCCTCGTCGCCCTCATCAGCTCCACCATCGCCACGTGCAGCCCACTCGTTCATATAAATTAGGAAAGTTGTTCATAAACTTTAAAATGAGGATAAAGCAAGAATGAAGCTGCCCCAGAAAAATCCCACCTTCAGTAATGAGGAAGATGGAAAACAGCTCCAGCGATCGGAGGCTGGGCTCCGTCTGGCAGCGCTGTTCCTGCGACTGTTTGCCGGGGGGCTTTCAGGGCGAGCCTTCTGTGCCAGGAGCTGCAGGGCGACGCAGCTCCCCCGGACGGCCAGTCAGAGGAGGCAGCCTGGCCGACCGTGCAAGTCCTCACAGAATTGGCACCGGCCTGTGGGCGCTTGCAGGGTTAGGGCCAGCCCAGCCATGCAGCCCAGCCAGGTGCTGTGAGGCCCTCTCAGAGGCCTCAGCTTGTGGGGGCGGAAACAACAACCCGCTTGGTGGCTGCTGCCCCTGCCTGGCTCGTGTGCCCACCTCCCTGGCCCTAGGAGCGCTCTGCCTGTGCCTTGCCCCTTGCCCGTTCCTGACTTGACTTCCACCCTGGTCCAGACCCTCCTTCTGCCTCTGGCCTGTTCTGGTCAGTGCCCATCCGGCCTGGGCATCCCTGCCTAGGATGCTTCCCAGTTACGTCCTGGAACTGACATGGGGATCCATTTTCAGTTCTGTATTGGGTGTTTTCATAGCCAGTGTTCAGAGGTGTCAAACAAGAAGACGGGCACGGTCCGGCCTTGGCCTTGGAGGTCTGGGTGGGTTCTCTGGCTGCCGCGTGGCCCCGAGAGGGAGTGTGGGGGAAAGCGAGCTGTCTGGCTCCCCTTCCTTCTGGCATCTGCCCCTCTTCACATGTGGGCACTCTGCCAACATCAGGACTCCCCAGGAAGGTGGCGGTGCTCACCCTTGCTCGGGAGCAGCAGAGCCTTTTCCTGGCCTCTGCCAGGGAAGGAAGGACTTTGGAGCGGCCCCCTCCCAGCATTCCTCTTCCAGCCTCTCGGTGCCCGCGGACGGCTGAAGGAAGCAACCCCGGGGCTTTCCCTACAAAAATAGTTGTGCAGATTATCTTCCGATGGGCCCTTTGCCCCCGCTCACGGACCGCCCCGCCCACGGGGAAGGGCGCTCATTCACGTGGCGCACGAGGCCACTGCCGCAGGCCGCAGGCCTTCCCAGGGGGGCTCGCCGGAGGAACAGCTCCGCTGGGCATGCCAGAGTCCGGGGATCAGTGCCTCGCTGCTGCTCCTCACCGAAATGGCGCTGGGGGTGGTCCTGGTCACTTGGGGCTGCGTGCACCTGGCTGTTCAGTCTTGCCAGGAGGCCAAGCTGAGTTGCTCTGCCCTTCTCACCCGCACAGGCCCGGCGAGGAGAGCGAGATGGGCCGGGCTGAGACCATCCCCCGAGCCCTGTAAACAAGTGGGGGCTCGAACCCGGGCCTGCCTCCTCCAGTCCTGGCTCGCCTCCGCTCAGGACCGTCCAGGCTTGGGATGAGGCCTGGCGTCCACTGACCGCCACCCCTTCCGGCTGACGTGGCGGGCTGTGGCTGGCCCTGCACCTGGCCAGGCGCGGGACGCCGGCCTCCCCTGGCAGTGGCAGTGGCAGGCGCAGGCAGCCTCGCGGCCGTTCCGCCTCCCCTTGCCGGGACACCCCAGCACCGATCCTGCCCTGGAACCGGCTGTGCGTGTCCCCAGAGCACCGGGGCTGCTCTTCCCCGCCTGCTCCCGACCTTGTGTTCTCTCGCTCTGGGAGGGGAGGAGCCTCAGCCGGTCTGCCGTGTGACTGAAAGGGAAGGAAAGTGCTTTCGCTGGGGACAGACTGCGCCACTTGGCAGTCAGCCTGGCCCTGGGACCACCCACCTGCTTCCCCGCTGGGCTCGGTTAACTGCTTGCCTGCTGGAGGGAGGAGGTTTGGTGCTGCTTCCTTTGCGGCTCTCTCTCTCGGTGCTCTGCCCAGATGAATTTGCCGATTTGCGTTCCCCCGGGCGAAGATGAAAGGCAAGAGATGCTGGGCTGGGCTGCCCTTTCTCCAGAAGGAGAGGAGCCCGCTGCAGGAACGGACCGGCCTGTGGACCTGGGAAGCAGGGCCCACCGTTCCCGGTGCCATCTTCCTGCCGGGGTGGGCCGGCTCCAGGGATGCGGCGCAGTCCCGGGAAAGGCCCAGTCTTGCTCGGCACCCTTGTGCCCACCCAGCCCACCCGTCTTTTGCCTGCCCGTAGGCTTCGGGGAGAATGAATGCCGGCGATCCGCTCCCTTGCGTGGCGCTCCCCTAAGCCGAGCTTTAGGCTGGGCGTAACACAAGGCGTCCATATGCCTGGTGCCCGAGCTCAAGTGTGTCCGGATAGCACCTGAGCAAGGCAGAGGAGATGAGCCAGAGCGCCTGCGGGAAAGGGGGCTCTCCTGCCCCCCGGCCCTCTAGCCTCGAGGTTGCGCCGTGGGAGAGGAGGGGCAGGCTGGCGGCACTCCAGAGCAGCAGCGCCAGGCATGTGCCCCCCTTCGGGGCAGGCAGACCGCGGGCTGGTGGGACCCGCTGTGGGGTATTGCAGGAAGGCGCAGGAGCCGTTCTGCGGAGCCCCCCGTGCAGCTCGAGCCACGTCTTTGGGCCCGGCCAGCGCGAGAGCCAGCGACCTGAAACAGCCCCTCCTGGTCCCTCCCCTCACCCAGCTTTGTAATCCCAGCGCCGTCATTTCAGGTGGTGGCAGGAATACCTGGAGCGCCGGCACAGGAATCTGATGTGCACAGTAAAGCGCCCCTCATTCCTCAACTGTATCCCGGGCTGCCGAATCTGCCGCATCCATGCTAGAGAAAGGTGTTGCGCCAACCCTCGCCAGCATTTCAGGGGGGGGGGCCGAGCTGCCCCCCCCTTTGGCAGGGAAGTTCAGAGATCTCCAGGTGCATTTCCTCCCAGAAAGGCAGGGGTCCTTGGACCTGAGCTGTGCTCCCTTCCCCATCCTCCCATTAGACGCATGGTGGGCGAAGCCTTCTAAAAGGCCAGGGAGACTGGGGCTGGTGGGGGCCACCCTCCCCCCCCGGCATGGGACGGACTGCTGTCTCCGGGCCGCTCACAAGCAGAGGGTGCAGCACTTCCCTGCAAAAAATCTGGTGTTCAGAAGGAGCTGGCCTATACTGACGAGGTCCCGACTGACCCTCCGCCAAAGGCCAGTCCCCCACTGCCAGGGGCCACCTCAGGAGACTCTGGCACCAGGAGGCCCCTCCGCCCCCTGAAGCCGCTGCAGGCGGTGGGGAGCGCTGCTCTTGCCCAGCTGTGGCAGCCCCGGGAAAGCCCCGCCAAGCGAGGGACCCTTTCCGCAGGCACCTGGCGCCCCCCTCGCATTCAGCATGCCTGGGAGGGCTGCCAGCCACCCACCCACCGCCCGCGCCTGCCCCAGCCCGGCTCTGATGCCCAGGCTGCCTCTCTGGGCCTCCAGCTCCGCAGGGCCACTCGGCTTCCAGCGCAGACTGATGCAGCCTTCAGGCTGCGCGATGCCCGGCTTCGCAGCATGCTCCTCCGCCCACCTCCTGCTCCCCGCCACCCCGCAGAGTCCTGATAAGTAGGGCCAAAGGCGAGGAGGGCACAGCCTGGCTTCGGCCGGCCACTGGGGCTCCCGGCACGTGCCAGCTGTCCAGGGGTGCTCGAGTGGTGGCCAGTGGGTGCCATGGCCGGATGGCCATGCCAGGTGATCCCAGGCCATGCCTGGCGAGCCATGTCGGAGCGGCCCTGGCCACAAGCCGCCTGCCTGGGCCCACAGGACAATAAGCTGTGGTGGGCGGCAGCTCTGCTGTCCTGGGGGGGGGGCAGCCTGCACTCACCACGCACCCCCAGAGCTTGCCGTGCACGGTTGGCCACGGGTCGTGTGCGCTGGCCAGAGAAGGGCAGTTCCACTGAGTGCCAGGCCCTGCGCAGCCTGTCCTCAGCCGAGCACACGTGTCGCCGGCCCCCCGAGGAACAGGCGGCGATTCGAGGAGCCGCAGGAAAGCATCCCGGCCAGAGACCCCCAAGCAGGAGGTCCAGGGGCCGCCCTGCCCACATGCACCTGCGCGGGCTCAGCTGGTGGTGCGGAGGCTGCCGTCCGGTTACCGATCGCGTCACATGTGTACAGGGCCTTGCACTGTTTTTGTGGAGGCCTTTCAAGCAGTTCTGCGTGGTAGCCCACCCACAGCCTTCAGTTTAGAGAGGGGGGCCGCGGGTCACCCAACCCATGCGCCGCACTCCCGGCTGACGAAGCCGGTGGACAAGTGGCTCTGGGTGGGGTGGGGGAGGTCCGCCAGGGAGCCCTTCGGGGATGGTGGTGCCGGCCAGGCCATGGCAGCCCAGGCGCTGGACACCTCACGGCACCTGGGCAGGCCGAGGAGAGCGCCGGCGCGCCTGTGGGTGGGCGTCCTTCCTCCGGCGCTGCTGGCGTGAACTGCAAGGGCTGTGGTGTTGCAATGCTGTCCACAGTGGCCCCGCAGCAGATCCGGAAGATTCCCGTGCATGTTTCCCCCACCCCGAGCGGGCCTCAGCTTCCCCCGGATGCTTGCTGCAGGGGTGAGCATCTGCCCACAAATGCTTTCCAGATGTGATGCTCTGGCTGCAGACGTGAAGGCAGGCTCACGGTGCCGGGGTGTGCGTGTCCAGTGCTTTGGGCAGAGCCTACAGCCCAAAAGAGGGGGAGTGTGTGCTGTGAGGTGGGGTGTCTCCGGGGAGGGACGGCAGCACCCGGATCTGCTTCCGTCGGCTTGCTGGACACCTGGCAGCTGCCCTCTCGGATCCCAGCCACCGTCTCCTGCCAGACCAGCAGCCCAAGGGTTAAGAGGGTGAGGGATATGTCCTGGCTACTTCCTTTTGCACTCTGGAAGGAGCCCTCTCCTTGTGACTGAACTGGACGGAGCGCTCCCGAGCAGGCAGGCGGTGTGGGCCGGGGAGTCCCCAGCCCGGATGGGGGACGCTGCCGCACGGTCCAGAAATGGGCACAGCAAGGTAAGCACGCCGCTCGCTCCTGGCTCCCACCGCTGTGCTTCCTGGAAGAGGCTGCGATGAGGCCAGGCTTCCTCCAAAGTGCCCCGGGTGTGGGGCCTCCGTCAGGTTGCGGTTGCTCCCCCGTCTTAGTTCCTTATTCAGCTCAGAGCTGCAAAAACAGTCTGGACAGTTTCCTGGATGGGGGCCAGCAAAAACATGATGGGGAGTGCTATTGAAAAGGGAACTCTGCAAAGGCACCGGATATTGACAGCTGCCATAAAAAGCAGTGGCTTGTACTTTCCCACCTTCCTGAGCACCCCAAGCCTCGGAAAAGGGTGGAAAAGCGACACAGCTCTCCGAGGCAACTGGTCCAAAAAGAACCCTTGAGGATCTCGGGGAAGGGAAGGTCCAGCTGGTGCTCCCTGTGGCACGCAAAGGTCACTTGCAGCCTTGGTTTCTCTCGGCGGCTCATTTTTGACAGCCGTCAAGTGGAAACATAAAGCCCTTTGCAGCCTCTCTGGGGTAATGCCGAAGGCTGGTACCTGCTGCCAGGACATTGCCCTGGAGAAGCAGGCAGTTGGATCCGGCTATTTCATTTCAAAGTGCAAAATAATTTATGTGCATTGGAGTCCTTTTTCTCTTAAGGGTGTGATGAGCGAGCGGCAGCCCTTCCAGTGCGACACTCAGGCACTTTGAAGGCTGTCTGATCTAGCTTTTTGCTGTCTCTGGAAAAGGCGGGGGAAGTTAAGGGGCGGAAGGCGGTGTGGAGCCAAGCACGCCTGCACCATGGCGGCGAGCGGAGCCCATGCGGGTGGCCGCACTTTGCTGCCGGCTGGCCCTGGGGGGCTCGGGCAGGCTTGCCCCAGTGCCCACGGTGGGTTCACTCACCATGACTTGGATGACGCAACTGTCCTTTGTGGGTTCAAGACCCCTAGAGCAAGCTATCTGCTGCCAGTGTGGTTTGTTGCCTACGAACAAGCCACCCTGGGGAAAATGTTCGGGGTTCACATGACACAATGTGGCCTGCCGCCCACTGCGGGTTGTCATGCCGCACAGACCCACTCGGTCATTATGTCCAGCCAAGGTTCTTATTCTTGTGCAACACCATATTGGTGCTCCCAGATGACAATTGCAGATCAGACGCTGGAGATACGCACCCCATGAGACCCTCTAAGACACCCTAAGCGGTGATCTTTCTGGACAGCGTCTCCTAGGAGTTGGCAGGGATTGGTGTCTGATGGTTCAGCCTGGCAAACTCCACGCCAATGAGAGTCACATTGCATAGAAAAGAGTAAAGAGGATACTCCTCGGAATGAGGATTGCTTTAGTCCAGTTTCACGAAACCGGGATACAGAAGTTGCCTCTAAACGGCAGCCTCCCAAAGGAAAGAAAAGCCCTCGGGGCTCGACGCTGCCGCAGAGACCAGAAGGGTCTTTTCTCCTCGAGGCGAGATGTGAGGGCAAGTGAGAAGTGCAGGGCAGAGGGGTGACGCATGTCGGTTCATCTGTCCGTTCAGCAAGAGCTGCGTAAAGCGCTGGAAAGACTTTCAGCTTCAGGTTGCCAGCCGAACAGCAGTCTGGCAAGCTGGCTCAAAGAGGGCGGGTGGAAGCCCTCTCCCTCGGAGCCACGGAACTGGACTGGCCGGTGGTCCCTCCTCTACCTGGGCAGAGGCAGCAAGTGGCCTAGCGCAGGGCTCAGTCCTGGGCCCGGTGCTCTTCTGTTACTGCTACCATTATAATTACATTGTTTTAATTTCGTTTCTCTACATTTCTCTGGGCAGTTTGCACAATCCATAAAAAAATAAGCAATAAAGATATCAGAAAAGGCATTCAACAGTTTGAAACAGCTAAAACAGCCGATAAAGGCAGGTGTTGCCTAATGTCGCTATCCGCGATCTGAATGTGGAGGCGCAGGGAGCACTTGCAGAGGACACAGTACTGGGTGGGACGGCTGACGACCCGGAAGACAGGAACACATGCAGCGTGATCATGACGGCCTGGCACACTAAGTTGAAAACAGGATTAATTCAACAGGGACGAATGCCAACCCCTGTACAGTTCAAACCGCACTCAAGATTTTCACACGGAGGAAGGCCAAGATCTTCTCTCGATCATCCCGGAGTGCAGGACACAGAATAACAGGCTCAAGTTACAGGAAGCCAGGTTCTGGCTGCACATCAGGAAGGACTTCCTGGCTGTTCGAGCAATGACCAGTGACCCAGGGAGGTCGTGGGCTCTCCCGCACTGGAGGCTGGGCAGCCATCTGGGAGGGGTGCTTTAGCTTGGCGTCCTCCACTGAGCAGGGCCTGACAGGCCCCTTCCAGCTGCACTCTTCCATGATTCTGTGGTCTGTTCCCTACACAGGCATGAATGTCCTGTCCTAAAATACGGGTAGAGATCATGTTGGAGTCACCAACCCGGGAGGGCCCCTCTGCCCCGCTGTTGGGCATCAGTGGGGCAGGGGGCAAGGACAGCAGCCCGGATGGGCTTGGCTGGAGCAGCGAGGGGATTCTGCCGTTCTTGCCAGGCAGCTCCGCACCCCGGGCTGGGCCAGCGCGGCAATGCGTCACGAATCCAACAACCTCAACCAGTCGTGGGTTGTTGGGACGGCTTGTTGCCCATACAGAAGCCACCCTGTGAGACCTGCTCTGGGTTCCCACAGCGTGACGCTGCATCATGGCTTGCCAGCTGTGATCAGATGCCGGTTTTGCATGCCCAGTCAGTAGGTCAGTTGAACAACAAGGATATGATGCTTGTTCAGCCATGGGGGAAAGAAGGTGGGTTGCAAGCACTTTGAGGGCATTCTCTCCTCAGACAACCTTCCTCCGCCCCTCAGCTCGGTGGCTTCATCTCAGAGTAAAGGATCTGAACACCTCCCTCACTTCCTTCCACAAAGCTTAGGCTGGGAGATGGGGAGGGGGAGGGGGAGCAGCTGGCGGATGGAGGGCTGGCTGGGGACGGCCCAGGCGGGGAAAGCGGTCAGCCAGCAGAGGCAGGTTGGCGGGGACCCCCTCCGCTTGGCCGTGTGCCTCCAGGGCCGGATCAGCACAGGATGAGGCCGCCCTCGGCCGTGATTGAATAGTGGGGGAGGAGGGAGACCCGGCAAGCGCGACTGAGGCCGGGGCGGGGGGACAGGGAGGAGGGTGTCCCTCCCACCCGTGGGCACCAGCACGCGTCTCTCCTCAGGCTCTTGGATCAGGACCGGTGCGTAGCTCCAGGCAGTGGGGCTGCCCCCTCAGTCCCGTCCTTGCTGCCTTTTCCTGGTCTCGAGGGCACCCGAGAGCCTTCCGATAGCTCCTTTGCCCCGTGCTTCCCAGCCTCTCACATATCTGAGGACTCCGCCTGTTGTGTGGCAGCAGCAGAATCTGGGCAGCCCTCCTGGAAGGAGGAGCTCGTCACGGGGCTTCCCTGAAACCAGGCGTGCCCTCCGTCAGCTCTGGCTGGCAGCCCAGCGAGGCGCTGTCTGGAAAGGGGCATAGTCTGGTTTCGGTGATGTGAACTCTGCTCATCTCCAGCCGCATTGCTGGCCTTGAGGACTGTTCATAAATTGAAGCTCGTGCAAAACATGGCAGCCGGATGCCAGATGGATAAGGAAGAGACGAATGCCGGTAATCCTGGCCCAGTTGCGCCGTGTGCCTGCATGCTTCTGAGCTCAGTTCAAGGCGCTGGCCTAGCCGACAACGCCTCGCACAGGTTGGGACTGCGACACTTGGCGGGGCACTTCTCTCGGCCACGCTCTGAGCTTGCCTCCAGATGCAGGAGGCTCGAGGGGCCTTCTTGGTGTTGGCCCCCACTGAGGAATGACCCCTTACTGAGGGCCACCTGGCACCAGCTCTGGCATGCTGTTGGCACCAGGTTAAGCCTGCCTTCTATGACAGAACCTTTAAGCAATGACGAAAACTCTCTGGGGGCATCTTGTCAGCTGTGAACAGGTTTTAATTTGTTTCATTATATTAATTTGTTTTAGCTGTTGCAGTTGTTTAAATAGTTTTAAGCTTGATAGTATTTTATATCTGTATTTTATTGCATTTCATGTGTTGTTGTAAACTGTCCAGTTACACAGAAATAAAATCAGGAACAGCAGGCAAATAGAAACAGCTCTGCTTCTTTGCTTTCCCTCTCTACCCACGTTTCCTTCAACCCTCAACCCAATGGAATGGCAGCGCTAGGCTTGTTTCCCAAGGAAACGACCCACTTCCTGGGGACTTTGTCAGCACTTTTCGTTTCTACCTGCCCCTCAAAAAGCAGGGCCAGGTACGGCACCCTTCCAGCGATGCCGCCCCTGCTCTGCCACTTGGATGTCCAGCCTTTATAACATTTACAAAAGCTGCATCGATGGACCGACCCGGGCCAGCAGCACCCATGGACAGAGCTTCTCCAAGAAGGAGCCGTCCCTCCAGAGACGGGCAGGGTTGCCCAGGGGGCAACTGCTCTTCGCAGGTTTCCAGGATCAGCCCTCCCGCCGCAAACCTTGCCTGGTCTAGCTGGGTGTGCATGAAAATAAATTGGAACCTTTCGAATCAGCCCACGGTTGCTGATGAGGCTGCCGGATGGCTAATCATTTATAGAAGAGGTTAAGAGCATATTAAACTTTTTTGGAGTGATGTTGGAAGAAGTAGCAGAGAACCAACTTTTAAGACTGGTTATTTATCGATATGCTAGAAAGATGGTGAGGATAAGCTGAGAGGAAAAGGTGCCTTCTTTGCACGCTGGGTGGAGGGAAGCAAATGGCTGAAGAGGGCAGGAGAGACGGGCCGAAGTCAAAGGTAGCTTGCCGTCAGCCCGATGTGACCTTAAGGGCTGTGAGCAAAGCTCAGGGTTGCCGGCCCTGGAGAGGGCTCCATCCCGGGACCCAGTGCCCGGATCGGCCGGAGCATGACTGGCCCAGCACGCGCGAGCGGCCTCTCGTCCGGCAGAGGGCAGTGGGGGCCAAAGGGCGGAGGGCACGTGAGGAGGGATGCGGAGGAGGCCAGGGGTGTCTTGCGCTGGAAGGCCCAGGCCTGCCTCTCTGCAGTTTCAGGCTGGGACCGCGGTCCTTGGAGGCGCTCTTGGCGGGGGGAGGAGCCCGCGGTTCAGTGGTTCCCTCCAGGAAGTGCCTGCGGGGGGGGGGACCCATTGGATCCCCAGGTGCAAGTCCACTTTACTGCAGGCCGAAGTCCAAGCTCCTGGCAAGCCTGCCCCACGTCTGTGGGGTGCTCACCGGGCACGGAGCCCCACGTGCTCCACCAGCAGTGTCCCTCTTCCGGCCACGTGCAGCCTCCCCAGTGCAGCTGGCCTGGCGCTCCTTCTCTGAAGCTGCTGCCGGCCTTTTCTTTGCAGGAACGGCACCCGGACATCCCGTTCCCCACCAGCTCTCCCACCCAGTGCAGAAGGACGTCACCTCCAGTGCTGAGGCTGAAGCAGTACAGCAGCAACACCCACCCCCTCTTGGCAGGTTAATAATTGACTTGTTAACCCAGGCTAATAAACCCTGAAAGGCTGAGTATTAAAGGCCTGCGGCTCTGGGGCTGAGCCTCTCCCTCGCAGCTCCTCTCCGGCAGCCCCAGCCATGGCCAAAGGGTTCTTCATCAGCAAGACGCTGGGCATCGTGGGCATCGTCCTCGGCGCCGCCGCCGTGGCCACCATCATCGCCCTCTCGGTGGTCTACTCGCAGGAGAAGCAGAAGAACAGCAACCTCGCCTCCACCGTGGCCAGCACCACGGCCAGCACCACGGCCAGCGCCAGCCCCAACGGGACGACCAGCGCCAACAGCAGCCCCACGGCTGGGCCAAGACAGCCCTGGGACCTCTTCCGCTTGCCCGAGACCCTGAGCCCCGAGCACTACAGGGTCCACCTGCAGCCGTTCCTGACGCCCGACGCGCAGGGCCTCTACACCTTCAGGGGCAGCAGCACCGTGCAGTTCCGGTGCCAGCAGCCCACGGACCTTATCCTCATCCACAGCAAGAAGCTGAACTACACGCTGCAGGGATCCTTCCTCGCTTCCCTCTCCGGGGTAGGCGATGCTGTGGTGCCTACCATCAAGAGCACGTGGACGCAGGTGGACACAGAGTACCTGGTGGTGCAGCTCAACACCCCCCTCCAGCAGGGCAAGCTGTACGAGCTGCACAGCATCTTCCAGGGTGAGCTGGCAGACGACTTGGCTGGCTTCTACCGCAGCGAATACGTGGAGGATGGACAAAGGAAGTACGTGCTGGGGAAGGAAGGGGGCCGGGAGAGGCCCAGCAGCTAGCAGACACTCTGCATGTCTGTGGGGGTCTTGGGGAGGGCCCTGCAGGCTCGGGGAGCTGCGAGCATTCGGGTGGCCGTAGCGGGGGGCACCAGAAAGTGGCTATGGCTGCCCGGGGAAGCCACTCCTGGCCAGGCCAGGCTTATTTCAGGGGCTCTACAGGCCTGGGGCATGCGCAGAGTCCTGTGAATGGAGGGGACAGGGCAGCGGGAGAAAACTGGGATCTCTAACCTCTTCCTTCCTGGCCTCGCCCTTCTCCCACCAGCCGCGTTTCTTTCCAAGGCACAAAAGAAGCAGCTCCGTGCAGCCCCTACGGATCTTTCGCTTGGCTGGAGCTGCTGCTTCAGTGTGTGCCATTCCTGCTCCGGGCAGCTCCTTCCCCACACCCTGCTCGCCTCCTTCCTGCCCCTTCCACACCCTAACGCTAACCCTAACCCTTCTGCCTGCGGAAATACTGCTCCCGGGATGGGCGCATGAGGGGCGCCCCCCTGCAGCTGTGAGGCTGGAGCAGAGCTGCTGTTCCTCACTGCACCACTGAGATGGGGCCTCACAGAGCTGTACATGCGTCTGTCCATCCGTCCATCCATCGTTCCCCTAAGCCAGGCGGCCCCCCTCTTGGCCTCCACCCCCCACTTTCCCGTTTTGCATTGCCAGCTGCCTCGAGAAACTCCTGACTGAAAGAAGGCAGAATGGGGTGGATATTGAGAAGGAACAGCTGAAACAGTCGTGGTAGATGCTGGGGGGGGGGGGTCCATGGGTTCACCAGACCCTGCCCTTCCCCAGGGTCCTGGCCACAACGCAGATGCAAGCAGCTGATGCCCGGAAGGCCTTCCCCTGCTTCGACGAGCCTGCCATGAAGGCCAATTTCACCGTGGTGCTGACCCACCCGTCCGACCACGTCGCGCTCTCCAACATGCCGGTGAAGTGTAAGAGACGAGAGGGTGGGGGGGGGCTCCTTGGCCCGCGGTGTGTGGGCCCACCAGGATGCTCTGACCACTGCCCACCCCGGTTTCTCCTCTTGCCAGGGCTCCTCTGCGTGGGGGAAAGCGGCAAGGAGGTGAACGGAAACCGGAAGGGGAGGGGGATGAGGGGCGGATCTGTGGCCAGCTGCAGGTGCCTCTGGGGGCCCCAAGAACCGGGGAAGTGCCTGGGCTTGTCCCAGACACCCCTAGGCTGGGTTGCGGGAGGCGGAGAAGCACCACAAGAGGCCCTTCTCTCTTCACCTCCTTCCAGCCACTCAGGCTACCATGGTCAACGGCATCTCCTGGAACACGACCGAGTTTTACCCCACCTTGAGGATGTCCACCTACTTGCTCGCCTTCATAGTCAGCCAGTTCAAGCCGGTGGAGAAGCACAGTGGCACATTGGTAGGGTGGCGAAGGGGCCTGGCTGGGGACTGGTCCTCGGCCGCGTGCTCCCACGGGCCTCAGGGCCCCTCCCTTGGGGCACGTCCGGCCTTCCCTGAGCCGCTCTTGTCACCTTTCAGCTGCAGATCTGGGGCCGCCCCAAAGCCATTGCGGCCGGCCATGGGGATTACGCCCTCAACGTCACCAAGCCCATCCTCAGGTTCTTCGAGGGTCACTACAGCACGCCGTACCCCCTGCAAACGCTAGGTGGGTGGTGAGGCGGGAGGCCGGGGCACGCTGCGCCTGGGCCCATCGGTGGTGCTGGGGGCGATCGGGGTGAGCAGCCCCGCCCGGCTCTCCCTGGCTGGTGCAGGCCCCCACAGCCCAGCGCCGGCTCGCACAGCGCAACGCGTCCCTACGGGCAAGCGGTGTGGGGCGGTTGTTCCCTCGCCAGATTGTGTGACGCCCAGCAAGCACGCTGGGGCAACCCTGGGCTTGGGTGCGACAACAAGCCGTCCCGCTTGCGTGGGAGGTGGCACTCCCATGGCCCCGATCCGGCTTGGAGGGGGCCTTCTCGCCCCCCGCGGCAGCGGGTGCAAGGGCCACACTGACTGGCGTGCGCAGCCGACTCCGGGGTGGACCCTTCGCCTTCCAGCGTGCGCCGGCACTGTTCAGAGCTCCTCTGTGCCGAAGGCATGCTCGGCCCTGCTCGGAAACAGGCTCCACCGGCACAGAGCAGGGGCCTCCGAGCGGCTAAGAGGAAATTCTGCCCCCAGCCCAGGTCGCCCTGCCGGATTTCAATGCTGGAGCCATGGAGAACTGGGGGCTGCTGACGTACCGTGAGAACTCACTGCTCTACGACCCGCTCTTCTCCTCCATCGGCAACCAGGAGCGGGTGCTGACCGTTATCGCCCACGAAGTCGCTCACCAGGTACCTGCCCAGGCTGCGGGGCTGGGCAGCGGGGCTCCGGGGCCCCCTGAAATGGGGTGTGCCACGTGCCTCGGCCAGTGGACCCGCTTCCCTCTCATGGATGTGCCCAGGGTTGGGCAGCCCTTCCCCTCCAGTGCCGGCCGGACTCCCGGCATGCCGACCCGCATGGGTGCGCGCGCCGCCCGGCGGCCTGCCAGGGAGCCCTGCGGCTGACCGAGCCCCTCCCTCCCCCAGTGGTTTGGGAACCTGGTGACCCTCCGTTGGTGGAACGACCTGTGGCTGAACGAGGGCTTTGCCTCCTACGTGGAGTATCTCGGTGCAGATGCGGCCGAGCCCAGCTGGCACATCGTAAGTCACACCCATGCAGGGCAGGAGGGGTCGGGGCTGCCGGCAGTGTGGCGCGGGAGGGCAGTCTGAGCCGCCTGTGCCCAGCTCAAGGGAAGGGAGCTGGCGGAGCGAGAGGAGATCTGCCGGTTTCCAAGACACAGGGACGCCCCCAGCCCAGGTGGCGGCCAAACGGGAGCGGCTCTTGCCCTTCTGGGAGACTCAAGATCCGGCGTGCAGCACCTGCGTGGATAAAGGAGGATCGCTCCTTGCATGCACCCTGCCTCCTCTGGAGCTGGAAGGGCAAGCTGCAGATGGGACCGGCTCTCTGAGCTTGCGGAATTCGCTTGCAGAGAGACCTGATCGTGTCCAACGAGATGTACCGTGTGATGGCCATTGACGCGCTGGCTTCCTCACATCCGCTCTCCTTCCGCGAAGACGAGGTCAACACCCCGGCTGAAATCAGCGAGGTCTTTGACTCCATCGCCTACAGCAAGGTGAGGGCAGAAGTGGGGGTCCGAGCAGGGTGCAAAGACGAGCAATCAAACAGGCAAAGCATCAGTCTAAGCGCGAGAGAGAGGAAGCTGCGGCCAGGCTTCCCACAGGGCAAGGGCAAAGGTAAGCAAAGCAAATACCCTGCAAACACAGGCCTCCAAACCTGAGGAATGCGACGCTGAAGCTGGTGGGTGCCGGGCAAATAGCCCTGGGGGATTCGCAGACCTGGACTGCAAAGAATCAGCTGGGGAGCCTTCCGGGGCCCGCGTTGACAGTCCACAATCTGTGAATGGGTTTGGGGGCCGCGGCACCACCTTGGGTCACGGAGCCACCAAAGGGTAGGCTTTCCCGGAGAGCCCTCGGGAAACACCGTGGCCAGGCGCCGTGGAGCGGGCCGGAACCGAGGAACGGATGCCCCTCGCAAGCTCTGCTCGCCCGCTCTCTTTCTGCAGGGCGCGTCTGTGTTGCGCATGCTTTCGGAATTCTTGACGGAGGATGCGTTCAAGAGAGGAGTGGCGGTAAGTCCTGCCCCAGCACGGGCTGCCCACGACGACGGGTTCCCGGACCCCTTGCCACTGGGGTGGGGCGAGCACGTGGGGGGGTCGGGGGAGGCCGGGGGGGCATCCTTGGGGGAGGGGGTCGGGTTCCTTTGTCTGACCCTCCTGGCAGTGGGCCCCTTCCAAGCCCCCTGCCCTCCGAGCTTTGTGATTCAAAATCAGAGTATTTTGAAATCCTGGAAATCAGGTTCCTTAGAAGAAAATCGTGTGCGTGTTGGTGCCTGAGACGCCTGTGTGTATGTTCACAACAACACGTGCATTTGGGGAAGTGAGGAGCGAGCAAGCGGGAAGGAGGAGAGGCCAGCAGGGTGGGGACGTGGGCGCCAGGGTGCACCCCGCCACGGCTGGCCGCTGCCCCGCACAGGAGAGAGGGCACTGATTGGCAGCAAAGCCCATAACAGGACCAACCCCAGGTACTCCTGTGCACCTCTGGGCAATCACCGAGTGGTGCAACCCGGGGCCTGCAAGTTCAGCAAGATGTGCAAGCCATTTCTGGGTTGTTTCCTGATGTCTGTACTCAGAAACTCTGGGGCCGAACAAACCAGAGTTAACCCAGCAAGAAATCATGAGTGGCTGTTCTCGTTGGATTATTTAACCATAAACCCCTCAACATTTCTGGAATTGGAAATCATGTCTGCATATTGTTCAGTGGCTGGAAAAGAGCACGGGAACCCGCTTGCGCAGGAAGCGAGGCTATCCTGGCAGTGCCCACTTGCCCGGTCCCTGCCCTCCGCTCTGGCCGTTCTGTGGCACACGCCCAGCCTGGCCGCACACAGGTGCTGCTGCTCGTTCTGCTGGCCTCACGTGCGCCCCAAGCGCCACCCTGTGCAGAGCCGGGCGAAGCGCGATGCGCACCTCAACCACTTCTCCTGTGTCCACAGTCATACCTTCATGCCTATGCGTACAACAACACCATCTACGCAGACCTGTGGGGACACCTGCAAACAGTACGTTCTGGCGGGCGCCCAGGAGCAGCACGGCCTGGATTCTGGCAAGGAGACCTTGGAGGCACAGCGATGTCGGCCCCTTGGGACCTCGGGCACTGGGAGAGGCCTTCGAGGCGCCCTCAGGGCTTTCTGCCCACCTTGGAGAGCAGAGATGCTTGGGAAGAGAAGGGAGGGGTGCAGGAAGGGGAGGGGGAGCTGCCACCTTGCTGGGCCCCTGGCCCCAGGACGAGGAGCCAGGAGGGACGAACCCCCAGTTAGAGGGCTTGTGTGGCTCCCACTGGCTGACCCTCATCTGGAGAGGAAGCATTTTGGGGGAAATGAGCTTTGCTTTGCATGGGTGAGGGCTCCTCCTTCGGCTCACTAGGAGGGTTTTCGAGTTGCTAACATCTGCCCTGCACGGAGACTGCCTGGTGTTTTGGAGCCGGAGGGCAAGGAGGGAAAGGCTGTGCTGGGGCCACGAGTGGCCCCCAGGGGCCCCTGAATGTGCCGTCTCTCCCTTGGGCAGGCGGTGCAGCAGAGTAACGTGACTCTCCCCGCCGACATCGATACCATCATGAACCGCTGGATCCTGCAGATGGGCTTCCCGGTGCTGACCCTGAACACCACCACCGGGGACATCACCCAGAGACACTTCCTGCTGGACCCGGACACCCCTGTGCAGCGCCCCTCCCAGTTCAAGTAAGTGGGGCCCCGACCTGGAGGGAGGGGAGGCAGGAGGGGAGCTGCTCCGGCCTGACCGCCTGCTTTTCCGCAGCTACACCTGGATAGTTCCTGTTCCCTGGCTGAGTTCTGATAACCTGACAGAGCGCATGTACTGGCTGATGGAACAAAGAGGTGATGCTCCTTTCCCCCCGTCCCGACTCTGCCGTGATAACAGGGCCAGGGAGCTTATCTCGGGCTGCTCAGAGCCAGCCCTGGGGAGCCGGAGCTGCGCTGGGAACCAGGGAGTGCTCTGCGAGGACCGGCCTCTGGTGTCACGTGAGCCACAGCCGGCCAGCAGAGTGGGATGCGGCAAGGCCGCCTGGACAGGCCCTTCCCCCAGGACCTCCCGGTCGCCCTCCGTGGCCCGTTTGCATCCCAGGTTCACCTGGGCAGGAGCATGGTGGGGGCTGCAGCCCCCCCTTCTGGCCCTTTCACCTGGTTGCACCAAGCGCCCAAGCGCTGGGCAGTGGGCTCACCCCCAGGGCGGCCTGTTCGTCCCCAAGCACCTGGGGGCCGGGGCTGGCGCTGGAGCGGCAGGACCACCGGGGGGCCTCTGGAGACCTGCAGCTGCCTCTCTCCCCTCCTGCAGACATGAATCCTGACTTCTCCACTGCTGGTGCCTCCCAGAAGTGGGTGCTGCTCAACGCGAATGTCAAAGGCTATTACCGGGTGAACTACGACCTGGAAAACTGGAACCGGCTCTTGAAGCAGCTGGCTACCGACCACCAGGTAGGCCTGGGACAGCCCCGCTCTCCTTCCGCCCCTGCCCGACCCCCGTGTCCCGTGGCACTCCCTCTGCTCTGCGTGGTCTTCATGCCCCAGGGGAGGGGTGCAAGGGTGGCTGAACTGAGGGGCCAGGGGGCAGGAGTGTGCAGGGGGGTGCTGGTACCCCCCCCCCGCTCTGCCTGCTCCCGCTGACCTTTCTCTCTGCAGCCCACAGCCCAGCATCCCCGATACCCAGGACAGCCCTTCCTCCTCTTTCCCTTGGCCCACTTCCCACATTCCAGCATCCCCAGGGAACATCCTCAGAAAAGCCATCTTTCCAGAGCTGGAAGGCCCCTGGGCAGGGCTGAGGTGTGGGGCAGGGTGGGGGGAGTGCTGGATGCACCACACCAGACAGCTGGACGGGGCCTGGCAGGCCATCAGGTGCAGCTGCCTGCCCAGGGCAGGACTGAAGTCACCCATCCCGAGTCACCCAGGCGCGACCCTGCTTGGCTTCCCAGATTAGTCCGCATCAGGCTAGTTTGGGCCCCTGCTCAGCCCTGGAGGCGCTGGGCCACGCACGGACGCTCGTGCACCCGGGGACAGAATGGAGCGCAAAGCTGCCCTGCCAGCTGCTCCGGGCTCCTCGCAAGAGGAGGGCCGGCTCCAGCCGCAGCGCAGCCGTGGAGGCGTCCGCAGGGCTCCCGCAGCCGTTGCTGGTCGTGCCTCCGCAGCCCCGGTGGGCCAGGGCCCACCAGCCAGGCAGGGCTCCCCGAGAGCGCCCTGGACGGGATCTGGCCTGGCAGGGACCGAGGCTGCGGCACACTCGCCACCCCCTCGCCCGGCACACGTGCCTCTCCTGCCACGCTCACCTGGGCCGCTCCTTCCTTCCAGGTCATCCCTGTTCTCAACCGTGCTCAGATGATCGACGACGCCTTCAACCTGGCTAGGTGAGCGGCCTGGCTCCCTCCCGGCTCCCTCGTCCCGGGCCACGGAGAGGTCCCGCTCCACCGTCTCTGCCAGGCTTCCCTGCCCCTCTTCCTCCTGCTGCGCCCACCCTCTCCAGCAGGGAGGGACGCGGTGCAGGGGGCCCGAGCTGGCCTGCCGGGGGGCGTGTGTCTGGGCAGCTGTGCAGGAGCTCCCGGCCAGTCCCGAGGGGGCGGCAGTCCCGCCGGCCCCGTCGAGGCCACTGCCCACCTCGGGGGATCCGTCCATCTGGTGGGCCTCCAAGATCACCCTGAGGCCGGCTGACGCCTGCCTGCAGCCTTCCCTGGCCCATTCCTCTGGGTGCCCTGCTGGCCTCATGGCCATGCAGCCGAGACGGGGGGGGGGGCTGCACTGTCCCAGCCAGCTCCCCTCTGAATGGGGCGCGCTTGGCTCCTTCCCCCTCCAGAGCAAAGTACATCAGCGTCGAGCTGGCCCTGAACACTACACTCTACCTGACCAAAGAGATCGACTACCTCCCCTGGGACGCCGCCGTCAGCAGCCTGGGCTACTTCAAGCTCATGTTTGATCGCAGCGAAGTCTACGGGCCCATGACGGTGCGTGCCTCCCGCGGTGGCCGCCACGTCACGAGGGCCCAAGGGGTGTGCCTGCGGCCAGCACGGCCTCCTCTGGGAGGCTTCCCAGCAGTTCCAGCTCCCTCAAGCAGGGTGGGGTGGCCACGGGGGCGGGGGCAGGATGGATCTTTGGAAGCGACACCGGACGGACGAACCCCAGCCTTGCTTTCTCTTCTCTCCACAGAGATACATCCAGAAACAGGTCGTCCCTCTGTTCGATTATTTCGAGCAAATTACTGGGAACTGGTCCAAGCTCCCAGAAGGCCTGATGGCTCAGTGAGTCCCACGGGAGGAAGCGTGTGGGGGCAGGGAGAGCTAGGCATCGCCGTGTGACGGGAATGGGGAGGCGAGTGGCCGACGGGGCAGCCCCACGCCAGGCGTCATCCTCGGCGGGCTCCAGGGCTGGCCAGCCAGGCCCTGGCCAAGGGCCCACGCCCACCGCAGGGACCCCGTGGCTGCGGCCCCCCTTGCTCCCCTCCGGCCCGTGGCAAGCTGCCTCCCCGATGCCGGCAGCAAGGGGGGCCCGATCAGCCAGTCCTCCGGGTCATGCAGAGGGGAAGCGAGGGCAGGGGCTGTGAGGAGGTGCTGTGCTGAGCGAGGTCCCAGGAAGGGGGCCATGCCCGGGGACCCTCCAGAGCATGGAGCTGCCGGGTTCGCAGTGAGCTTCACCCAAGGAAGAGCTCCGGGAAGAGGAGGGTGAGGCCGCCGGAGTGGTGGGGGGCAGGTGGGAACTGGCAGAACTGCTGCAGCTGCCAGAAAGGATGGGAGCAGAGGACCCCCTCACCCTTTCTAACTGGCTCCCCCCTCCGTGCAGGTACAGTGAGATTCAAGCCATCAGCACAGCCTGCTCCTACGGCGTCCCCAGGTGCCAGAAACTTGCCGCAGACTGGTTCGGTAACTGGAGCAGGAACCCCCACAATAACCCGTAAGTCCTCGGCTGGGCCGGCCCTGCGTCTTCCTGGATACGCCAGGCGGGGGGCAGAAAGCGCAGGCCTTCGGCCACCGTGGGGAGCTCAGCACTGCGTAGGCTGCGCTCGCTGCCGTTAAAGGCGCTTTGCCCCCTTTCTGCCTGCAAAGCGCTCGGCGGCTCGCCCCCCACGGCCCCTGGGCATGCCCCCCGTGGCACCCCGACAGGCAGAGTGAGGGGCGCCACCCAGGAAGCCACGGTCGGGCCCCGTGCAGAGGGCGCCCCTCTGGGGGCAGGGAGGCGCGCGAGAGGCGCGCTGCCCGGTGCCCGGTCCCGATGTGGCCCCCCCCGCCCACCCGTGCGCACCGTGCCACCGCTCAGCGCCTCTTCCTCCCGCAGGATCCCGCCGAACCTGCGCTCGGCCATCTACTGCAGCGCCATCAGCACGGGCGGCGAGGAGGCCTGGGACTTCGGCTGGACGATGTTCCGCAACGCCACCGTGGTGTCGGAGGCAGACAAGCTCCGCGCAGCGCTGGCCTGCAGCCAGGAGCCCTGGATCCTGCAGAGGTGGGGGGGCCCTTCCCTGGAGCAGGAGGGCTCGCCAGGGTGCCCTGCCTTTGCCTGAGGCACACCGCACGCTCAGCCTCAAGAAGGGGGGGCTGGAGGGGGCCGTGGCCGCCCTCTGTAAGTACCTTCGAGGCCGTCTCCGAGGGGAAGGTCAGGGCCTCCTCTCGCCGAGGACGTGCAATCAAGTCAAGCTGTGACAACCCAGTTTCGGGGCAGATGCCAGGCAGAGCTTCCTTCCTGTCCAAGCAACACGGCCGTGGAACCAGCGGCCTGCAGAGCTGGCGGGCTCTTCCACACTAGAGGCACTCAGAAAGGACCTGGACAGCACCTGAGTGGGGTGCTGCGAACGGGTGTCCTGCAGCAGCAGGGGGTGGGATTGATGGCCTTCAGGACCCCTTCCCACTCCGCTGTTCCATTCTACGTGCTGCCCCACAGGTATCTGCAGTATACCCTGGATCCCACCAAGATTCGCCGGCAAGACGCCACCTCCACCATCAACAGCATCGCCCGCAACGTGGCTGGGCAGGGCCTGGCGTGGGACTTCGTGCGTGCCAACTGGAAGACGCTCTTCACCCAGTGAGTGCGGCCTGTGGGGGCAGGCATGGGGGGCCGGTAGGGGGCGCTGTGCTGCGCTGACCACATTGTCTCATTGCCCCCTCGCACCAGGTTCGGTGGAGGCTCCTTTTCCTTCGCAAACCTCATCCAGTCAGTGACACAGAGATTCGCATCGCAGTTTGAGCTCCAACAGGCAAGGGTTTTGTCAGGTGGAAGGGAAGGAGCGGGGGGGGGGCTTGTGGGACTGGGGGGCCCAATCCCCCCTCACCTGAATCAGTGGGGCGAAGGCTTGCAGGGTGTGAGGAGGGGGCAGTGCAGCAAGCCGACTTCACCGCCATTTCCCTACCTGGCCCTCCAAACACACTCAAAGGTTGGAGCTACCAGGCTGTGGTGTCCTCAGAATTATCTCGACACGTGTGTCCTCTCCTGTCCCCTCACATCCTAAGTTGACCTTACTGACCTTGACCCAGAGCTGAAGAATAGCCATCAGCTGGACGCAGGCCAGGTGCTCATGTAACAACGGCCAATCAGTTAAAACAACAACAACAACCCATCGGTTGCTGTGCATGAACGGCTCATTGCTGAATTAACTGCTGGGTTATTTAGCCCCTGAATAAGCCATCATTTGGGGTTCAGATTGCCAGGGTGAGCTGGCATAATGTATGAACACGCCCAGAGTCTGGCCCGGCGGATGACAATTCCCGCCCCCGCTTCTGGTTGCTCCCTCTCGGACCACAAGCCTGCAGGCCGAGCCCCTTTGGAAATTTGCATCACCCTAGCAAAACTGCCACGTGGGAATGGGGCCGTTCACTTTCCTCCTGGCCCTTCTTGCAGCTGCAGCAGTTCAAGGAGGACAACGCCGACGTGGGGTTCGGCTCCGGCACGCGGGCCCTCGAGCAGGCCCTGGAGAAGACCAAGGCCAACATGAAGTGGGTGGCGGAGAACAAGGAGCGCGTGCTGCAGTGGTTCACGGCAGAGAGCGGGTAGAGGGGCACCGGCGCTGCCCGGACCGCGATCGCGGGAGGGGTCTGGATGCCGCACTTCCCAGTCGCTCCGGGCTCCCCCTGGCGGCCACAGTGAGCTCCTGAACGGCTTCTCCTGGTGGTGCCGAACGGCTGAACCCGAGCGAAAGGGCCTTGTTTTGCCGCGCCAGCCGCTGAGGATGCTTCCTGGCGCTCCCATGATGCGCCGCGGCGCAGGGCTGCCCCCGCCAGCGACACTCCTGCCCCATGTACTCCGCTGCCGCTCGCGACGCTCTGCGATGCTGTGGCACCGCTCGTCCCCGCGACTTGCCTTGAGGGCCCCCGAAGGGAGAACGGGGGGAAGGGACCCTCCCGCCACACGAGTGCAGATCCTGCCCCACCCAGGAAGTTGTGTATGATTATGTATCCCCAGTTTTATAAATTAAAATTAAGTCTCTTGCAATGTATCTTTGGTTGGAAAAAATAGCCAGGGGGACGGGGAGAACAGTGAGGGGGGCGGTTCACATGTCCTAAACACCCTGGGATTCTTTCGCCCCGGGGGCCTAAAGGGAGAGGCGGGGGCAGCCTGGTTCCTGCGGCCCCTGGACCTCGGACGTGACCTGCGGCCGGCACTTCTCCGCCTGCCCCTTCCCTTGCAATGCGAGGGCGGCAGCGGGACCTGGGATCCCTGCTTGCCCCAGCTGTGTTCACAGCAAGCCTGGATTTGGAAGAATTCTGTGCGGCTGCGATATCCGAACAGGGCAGTGCCCTAAACCACAGACCCTGCATCCGCAGCCTCCCGGGACTCAAGCCACAAGCCACATCTCAGCTCGCCGCTTGACGTGAGCCGATGCCACCCCGCTCTGCCTGGAGGCCGCTTCCTGCCACTGGTCTGGGCACAGCACACCTTTCTGCACCAATTGTGCTGCTGGTGCCCCCTCCAGCTTTCCCGCTGGCTCCTGGCTGAGCAAGAACTTCTCAGAAGAGTTGGCCCTCTGTGAGAAAGCGACAGACAGGGAAATGCCCTTCCCGATGGCAAAAAGAGGTCCTCTTAAGCCACTGAGGTAATTTAAAAGAAGCCCGATCGTCACCGAATGGGCAGAGGAGGGGAGGTGGAGTCCTCAGTCTATGCGGCGTTGGCCCATCTTCTGCGAGCCCCCTGGGTTTCTCGTGTGCTCCAGCAGAGCAGAAGCTCATGCCTCTGCCCGGCCAGTGGCAGGGAACTGCCCGTCTCCGGCACCGCTGCAGCTGGGAGGGTCGTGGGTTCTGCTCCCCCAGACCAGCAGAGATGCTTCTGGAGGACACGCAAGACTGTCCTGCAGAGCTGTTGCCTGGGCCAGTAGGATGGTGCGCTTTTCAGACTGGCATGGAGTAAACTGGTATTGAGCGGACTTCTGCTTCACCCAGCCTAGCTTGTCCAAGGAATGGGATGGACTGCCACTTGGTGAGGGGTCAGGGCAGTCCGGGCCAAGCCTGCCTGGCCAACGGACCGCACTTCCCTGGGTCAAATCCAGAAAGTCTTCTGGAATGAGCGGTGGTTTCCACTGGCGCGGGTGAGCGTGGCTGCTGCCCTCTGGCACGCAGGAGGCCGCTTGGGCCTGGGGCCGCGGGGAGCACAGAGGGTGAGCCGCTGGCAAAAGCAGGCCCAGAAGGTTCCATGGAAGCTTTCACCACCCGCCCTCCACGCCCGAGGCTTGCAGACGTGACCGAAGGGCTAGCCCTAGTTCGGGACAGCACACACGCACGCCAATCGCCCTCTGCCGCCGGCTCCATCTTCAAGGTCCTTCCGGCACAAGGCGGCTTGGTGGGTGCCTGGCACGCAGCGCCCGCAAGAGAGACTGCGCCCTCGCACCCCCAGTCCAGCAAAGCGGCTGTTGCCTCGGCTACCTGAGCCCCATCGGTGTGGATGCCCAGCATGGCTGATGCCAGACCGCTTGGGGGCTCCTTAGCTTCTCGGTGAAAGGGGAGCTGCTCAGCTTCAGGGCTGGGAAAGCCAAAATATTTAAAGAACAATGTGGGAACAGACTCTTGAGGAGAGACACCTGGAAACCAAAAGTAAACTCACCTTGTGAACAAGTAAGAGGGCAGCTCCTGCGAGTCCTTTTTGGAACACTTTTATTTGTTTCTAAGACCACAGTCTCCCTGAACATCCTGATCCCCGTTTCATCAATGGGAAAAGGAATCTGAAGTCAGCGCCCAGCACGTTCGTGGCAAAACCAAGACCTGAGCCGCTGGGGCCAGGCCCAGGTTGTATCCAGAAGAACGGTCCTATGGCCTCGGCCCCCCATGTCACAGGGCTCAGGCGCATCAGAAAGAAGCAGGTGCTGCCCCCAGGTGGGGAGCGCGAGGGCTGCCATCCCGGGAAAGTCACGGAGAGCCTCCGGCTGCTGCTGGATCTGCGGGCGGCCGCTGCTCTCCACGCCTGCTTGCCCTTTCAACAGCTGCCCCCTCTGCAGAAAGCCAGCGAGGCGTGGGGTGTGTGGGCCCCAGGCAGCGCCACGGAGGGCGGGCAGGGAAGGCCATCCTGAGGAAGGCAAGAAGAAGAGATCAGGCGGGGGAATCCCAGGAAGGGCTCCATCCGGGCTCATCTGGGAGAGGTGCCCTCTGTGCATGTGCAAGGAACTCACCCCTGTGAATTTCCGACAAGTTGTTCAAAGCCCTGCTGTTCCCACCGTGGCCAGCTGGCTGCCTGTGAGGAGCCGAGAAGCAGGCCAAGACGCCCCAGCGGTGGCAAGAAGCCAGACCTGATCGTGGGCAGCCCCCGGAGGAGGCTGGCTCTCGAGGGGGCCTATACGTTGTTATAAAGAAGCAAGCCGTTTTGCACCTCCTTTTTAAAAATAATATACACCCACCTTTCTTTATAAAGAAATTGAAGGGGCCTTGCAAGCTATATGAAAACAAATTGCACAAACCAGCACAAGTGCACAGAAACCCACAAAAGCGAAGACACAGAAGGGCAAAGGTGCTGGTGGGAGGAGCCACTCCGTGGGGGCAGACCGGAGTGGGGCGGGGGGCCTGCGGCACGTACCTTGTGAGCAGCTGCCTCTTCAGAGCTATAGGGCGGCCCCTGCCAGGCCGGGACAGTCTTTGCCCGCCCCCCGTATGGGGCCAGGGGCAGCTCCAGGCGTGGTCTGCAGGTGGGGGAGCTCCAGGGAGGCGAGTGAGAGAGAGGCGCACAGCGCAGCTCGGGGGGTGCTTGCGAAGCCCCCATTTCTGCGAGGGCATCAGGGGCGGCATTCAGCTCCTCGGGGTGCCCTCCTGGGAGGCACTCGGGGGGCAGGTTCCAGGGACTGGATTCAGCCGCCCAAGAGTCCCAAAAAGTCCCTTGGCTGTCACGTTGTGGCGATGCCAGCCAGGCCTCGGAGACGGCGGCAGCTGGGCTGTCCCAGGCGGGCGGCTCTTCCGGGCAGCAGCCCAGCACGGGGGGGCACAGTGGGCAGCGGGGGGGCGCCCGATCCAGCCCCGTCGGGGTCGGCATCTCCTCGCCGAGGCCCAGCAGCGCGGAGAGGTGGCCGATGTAGCGGACGGCGAGGCGCAGCGTCTCGATCTTGGTCAGGCTGTGCCCGGCGGGTGCGGCGGAGGCGGGCAGGTGGCGGCGCAGCGTGCGCAGGGCCTGGGCCAGGCGCCGCATGCGCAGCTTCTCCCGCTGGCTGGCGCTCTGGCGCTGGCTGCCGGCGGCGCTGCAGGGCGCCCTCCGGCTGCCCTGCCCGAGAGAGGCTCTGGGTGCCGGGAGCAGGCCGCAGGCGTGCCGGGGGCCGAGGCGCTCCCTGCAGGAGGCGGCTGGGTCAGGCGTGCCAGGGCCAGCCGAGGCGACGGCCAGCGAGCCGGCCCACTCCCAAGCCATGGCCCAGCCGTGCCTCTGGCCGAGGTGGCGAGGTGGGCAGCCCGACATGGCTCTGGTGCTTGGGAGGAGAGGTGGGGAGACGGCTTTATGCACCTCCCGGGTGTGAAGTGGAGGGCTTGAGGGAGGGGTCGGGGGCCACGGGAGAGGCCCCTCATTTGCACAGGTGTGAGTTTTCACTGCCCCGCTGTAATTGTTGACACCCTGGGCTTGGGAAGCGCGCAGGCAGCAATTCACAGGGCCCCGCGAGCTGCTGAGGCGCCTCAGCAGCCTCTCGCCATTCCAGCGCCAGAGGGCCCCCGCGCTGCCCCCCCGGCTGTAGGGCTGCCCAGCACCCACCCGAGCACTGATGCCCAGCTGCTGCAGCCAGGGTTGCCCCCCTGGGAAGGTTCAGATGGACGTCCCGAGGCAGCTATGTCAGCCGGCGGCACCTCGAGGCTGCAGGGTCGGCCGGGGCCAGGGAGGCACAGGGCAACCCTGCACTGAGCCGCAGAGATCACTAGTGACCCTGGGCCAGGCCTGTCGCTCAGCCTAGCCCACTTCGGGCCTTGCTGTGAAGGCAACATGGGGAGGGGGTGGTCCTGTGAGTCCCCTTGGAGAAATCCGTCGGCACAGCCAGGCTGGATCCAAGATCACCCTGGCTGAGACGCACCACCCTGGTGGGAATGCTGGCGCTGCTGCCACGGAGGCCCTTTCGCAGGGCCTGTCTGAGGGAGGCGCACTCCTCTCGGCACGGGGCAGAAGGCCCAGCAGTCTCCCTCCAAACGCCACCTGGGCCCCATGCCAGAGGGACGAGTCTTTGGGCCCGAGCCAGCGATGCTGCCCACATTCCCAAGGGAGCGGTGGCACCTTGCAACTGGGCACTCTGCTTCTAACCCGAGAAGAGCTGAGACGGCTTCCATTATGCTAGGCCCCATCTCAACAAGTTTCCAGGGTTCTTCAAGCGCCAGCAAGCATGTGCACCGGGCGGCTTTGCCACATCTTCGGTGGCTGTGCAAATGCCTTTGACCAAGCCCTTTAGCAGGGGCTGCTGAGCAAACTCTGGCGCCCTGAGAGGAGAGGAAGGGCCCTCTTACGGGGAACCAGCCCCAGAGTGGGGGCGGAGGGGGGACACAAAATGGGCTTCTGCGCCATGGAGGGGCTCAAGGGTCTCTGCCAGGCCAGAGCCTTGTGACATGTGCAGAAGTCACCCAAGGCGCCTTGGTGAAGGTACACAGGGCCTCCAGACAATTGTCTTCCATGGCCAGTCCCATTCCCCCACCACCTCTGGAGTGTCGTTCTCTTGCTTTCAGCCCAGCGTTCAAGTTCCTCAAGACTGCCCTGGATCTTCATTCTGTCTTCTAGGGTGTTCACTGTTCCACCCCAGTTTTGCAGCATCTGCAAATTGGATTATCGCTCCTTGCACTTCCTTCCCTAAATCATTAATTGAGATGTTGAAGAGACTGGACCTGAAATAAGGACCCGAAAGTGTGGAGGCCAGGACCAGGCACCCTGCGTGCAAACCCACGGCGCTGCCGCTCTTGGAGTGCCTTCAAGAAAGAGGCAGGAGAAGGGCAGGCGAAGTCCTCAAGGGCAGCACAGGATTTCGGTGTTGGGGGCTTTTCAGCTTAGAAAAATGGTACCAGGAGGGTCAGGAGGAGGGATCCTGCACACTGTGTGATCATCCAGGCAGCTGGATGGCTGGACCAGTTCTTCTCCTCTAGCATGGGTTTTCTTAATCCAGCTGCACATGGAGAAAGGAGGGGCCCTGGCCACAGAGACCTGGGCTGACTCTGCCCAACCTCAGGGCTCAGATCCGCACCCCCCGCATTCTGCCTCAGGACCAGGCTAAAGCAGCCCTCCCACCCTGCGTCGGGGCCACCCCAAGTTCAGTACCGTTCCCGGTGCGCATTCACGGCCTTGCCAATGCTCCAGCTCGGGAAGACGGGCTGGAAGGACGGGCAGTGAGGGTGCGGCCAAGGCTCCCACCTGGACGGCCAGCTTGGAGCAACTGCCTCGGCTCGGGTCGCTGAGGGTGCGGCAGGACACCGGGGAGCCCCCCGCCTCGCAGCTTTCCCCAGCACTTGTGGCTCGATCTCACAGGGCCGGGGCTGGTGTGGAGAAACTCCTGCCCGTGTCCAAACGTGGGTGAGGGAGGTGTGAAGATCGCCCAGCAGATTAATTTCCCTGCTCCTGGTTGGCAGCTAATGAGGCATCCGTGGGGTGAAGGGCAGCTGAGAAGAGGGGGATACCCCAGGCAGGGGCCGTCCCTGCGAGGCAGCGGGACCAGGCCACCCTGCAGCCCTGGGGGCCGCCGATGGGGGGGGGGGGGGGGGGTGCATGCCTTGGCAGCCCACGGGCTGCATGCCCCCCCCGGTCAGAGTGGCGCCACCCCCCCCCCCACAAGGGAGAGCCTCTCTGCACGCAAGCCCCGAGGCCTCTCTCCCATGAACGCTTCCCTGCCTCGCACTTCACCCAGCTTAGTATTTTGGAAGTGGCCTCCACTCAGGATTCCCACTGGACTTTCCCCGAAGTGGTCTGTTTTCCAAGGGGGCTGCACTGGGTCTCCCAGGCAACCTTTACACGAATGGTGTTAAGTGCTCCTCCGCTGGGCCTGGGAAAACCGCTCGCCCCCACCAGCTGTTTCACACTCAGCGCTCCCGGCCCCAGGCTGGGGGGTGTGGGGTGGGGGGGCAGGCACGGGCCAGCAGGGCTGGGAAGCGGCGCTTGTTTTTGCCCACTCTGGCTAAGGGTTGTGCTGGCAAGCTTGGGAGGCCCTCCTCTTCCGCTGCTGGGGCTCTGCACCCAGGGAAGGCCAAAAAGGCTACCTGGAACCCAGCGCCAGCCACGACTGCTGCCCCTGCCAGGCTCGCTTTCCCACCAGATTCACTTTTCAGGCAGTTTTCAAGCAAGGAACCTGGCCAGGTCTGCCACCAAAGGCAAGAAACCTTCGCTGATTTGGCGACAGTTAATCCATTGACCAATGGATCAGGCTGATCTGCTTAAATAGGAATAATGGAATGCCGATGCCTGCGCAGCCGGTTGAGGCATGTCTGCGAAGCTGGACGGGGGCAGCGGGAGAGGGACGGCGTGCAGCAGCAGGGCAGGGGGCTGGCCAGGAGGGCCCAGCTGCACCCTGCCTGCCACTGGCCACCTCCTGTGCTTCCCCACTTCTCTGGTTTCTATTTTGTATTACTGAAAGCAGGTCGAGGAGGAAAGGATGGAAGAGCTGCAAAAGGCCCTGGGAGTAAAAACACGCTTTCTGGGTTCCCTTTCAGATCTTCAGGACAGACTTGCCAGCAAGTGCAGCTCGCAGATTGCCTTGTGTAGGGCTGGTTGGCCGTAGATTAGCGGAGCTGGAATGGGTCAAGAAGACCATCAGGTCCAGCCCCCTGCTCTTGCAAGGCTCCCCATTCAACCACCCTCTCAGACGGCTGTCCAGCTGCACCCTGAACCCCTCCAGAGTGGAAGAGCCCACCACCTCCCAAGGTCACAGGTTCCATGGTCATAGTTCTCCAACAGTCAGGAAATTTTCCCTGATATCTAGTGCCATCAAATCCCCCCAGTCTTCCCTGCAGCCGTCCCTTCTCTCCTTGCAGAAACGCAGTCGTCCCCTGTGCCACTTCTGTGGCCAACGGGCCGCATACGCGCAGGTGGAGCGGAGGCTGGCCCACCCGCCCGCCGTGGGGAAGGGCCCGTCCCCTGCAGCAGCGGCAAGGGCACTGCGGTGGCCCTCGGGACCCCTCTGGAACTCCTCGGCCTCAAAGGGCAGCACTGGGAGCTCCCTCGGACGGCGGCAGCCGTGGGGGCCGTAGGGGGGTGCGGGCCGCGGGCACCGAGCCCGGCAGCGCTGCCCCGCCAAGGCGCCGGCCGCGCCCCCCGTTTGATGTGCGCGGCCGGCAGGGCCAGGTGCCACTTCGCACCTCAGGCGGATAAAGCGCGGCGCCCGCGCGCCTCCCGCAGACGCGCCCAGCCAGGCTCGCCATGGCCAGCAGCTGCTTCCCCGCCGCGCCGCCCGCCGCCGCCCTCCAGCTGCCCTCCTGCTGGGCGGCCCAGCCCCGGGAGTGGCGCCGCGCCGAGGGGCCCGGCTCGGGCGGCGGCAGCGGCAGCGGCAGCTCCTCCCCGGCGCCCTCGCCGG